TAGAACGACCAGAGAACTGTCGTGTAGAACAACCAGAGAACTGTCGTGTAGAACAACCAGAGAACTGTCATGTAGAACAACCAGAGAACTGTCGTGTAGAACGACCAGAGAACTGTCGTGTAGAACAACCAGAGAACTGTCGTGTAGAACGACCAGAGAACTGTCGTGTAGAACAACCAGAGAACTGTCGTGTAGAACAACCAGAGAACTGTCATGTAGAACAACCAGAGAACTGTCGTGTAGAACAACCAGAGAACTGTCGTGTAGATCAACCAGAGAACTGTCGTGTAGAACAACCAGAGAACTGTCCCGTAGAACGACCAGAGAACTGTCCAGTTGAACGACCAGAGAACTGTCCAGTTGAACGACCAGAGAACTGTCCAATTTCTGGAAGGATTGTAATGATAGATTAGGTAGTTTATTCCAGAGAGATCTGCGTGGATAGACTTGCAGGAGATATTTTTTTGTAATTCTATTTTAATTTTAATTTATTTGTGAACTTTAAATTAACGAGTAAAGAAGTGGACTGTGTATTATTAAATCTCATCACAAAATAGCCCACAAACTTGAGGAGGTAGAAATTGTTTTTAATTAGGCTAGAACAAGCAATTTACTTAATGTGATTTATTTCTTTAATGTTTATGTGTTTATTGAACTTGGTTTAATTATCTTGCTCTATCCCGGGGTTCATGAAATAAATGAGAGCTTAGCTGTTGTGATGATGAGGTCCTGGTTATGGAGGGGATCCTGGACACGATGTAGACACGTTGTTAAGGGGTTTCTCAGTGGTCTGGGGCCAGATTCACGAAAGCAGTTACGCAAGCACTTACGAGCGTGTACATCTTTCCTCAATCTTTGACGGCATTGGTTACATTTATTAGACAGTTTACAAGCATGAAAACTTGCCATTCAACTGTTCTTATTGTTATAAACAGCCTCCTGGTGCTTCGGAGCTCATTAACTGTTTAATAATTGTAAACAAAGCCGCCAAAGATTGAGTAAAGATGTACAGGTTCGTAAGTGCTTTCGTGAATCTGGCCCCAGGTCATTCGGCGGCATCTCTCTCCTCCACCGGTCACAAGACCTGCCAACGAAGTCAAAATATAAGTTCTGCTATCATTTATATGGCATAAATTATATCTCGTAATCTATGTCATTTATTAGTGGGGGGATCTTACCCCTTTTAAGTTGGGTCACCTATCTCTTAACCTTGACTAGCACTAATAACTGTACACTGGCCAAGTACTTATTGCTGTACTAAGAACCAGAAGAAGGTACTTCGCAAGAGGTGACGAGGTCGATTTGTACAGTAAGAGACCCCGAAGGTGCCTCGCAGTTTTGGGAGAATTGGTGATGGGAGCTGCCTCGTCTGTTACCTCTCGGCCAGATGGCTAAGCTTCCCCTCCTCAAGTGCATTCATAGACGCTTAATTATTTGACTAGTTCCGAGAAGGAAGGAAGGGAATTATCACAGGAAAGTGCCAAGGCATAACAACTATATAGCACTGGGAAGGGGTCAGAATAAGGATTTGGGATAGGACGGGGGAGAAGGAATGGTGCCCAACCACTTGTGGACGGTCGGGGATTGAACGCCGACCTACATGAAGCGAGACCGTCGCTCTACCGTCTAGCCCCCCAAGTGGTTGCTCCGAAGAGTGCATGTTAAATCAGATCCTTATTGTATCTTATTAAATTATAATTTAAGATTAATGCTCGTTCACTATAATGCAGTCATTATTTAGTGAAGGAAGTGAATTGTATTAATCCGCCTGTTATAGCTCTCCTGCATACCTGAATTTACCTGAGGGGGCCACTAATACTAGTGGCCTCGACGACGGGGACAGGAAGCAGGCGGTTTGTCAACTGTCCCCCCATTTGCCCTGATGAAACGTGACATGTTACGTCACAGGGCGCTCCTCTACAAAGATAACAGCAGAATTATTTACAATTATTATTACAATTATTAACAGCAGAAATACTTACAATTATTCGGTTTAATATTATGATTTAGTTGATGATTAAATATAATGGAGGCAATACCGCAGCGGCAGACGCATCTTCCTTGTGTATATACAATTACAATTATTGGTAAAATATTAAGTATGACTTGGTGGGGAATTTTCATACAAGTGTGTTAGATAGACTTGTACATAGATGGTAGTATGTTCAACGGACCTCTACAATGATGGCAGTGTTCAATAAACTTCTACACGAATGTTAGTGTGTTCAACAGACCTCGCTTAGGAGGGCTCTGCGTTCAACAGACCTCGCTAAGGAGGGCTCTGTGTTCAACAGACCTCACTAAGGAGGGCTCTGTGTTCAACAGACCTCGCTAAGAAGAGCTCTGTGTTCAGCAGACCTCGCTAAGAAGAGCTCTGTGTTCAACAGACCTCGCTAAGGAGGGCTCTGTGTTCAACAGACCTCGCTAAGGAGGGCTCTGTGTTCAACAGACCTCGCTAAGGAGGGCTCTGTGTTCAACAGACCTCGCTAAGGAGGGCTCTGTGTTCAACAGACCTCGCTAAGGAGGGCTCTGTGTTCAACAGACCTCGCTAAGGAGGGCTCTGTGTTCAACAGACCTCGCTAAGAAGAGCTCTGTGTTCAACAGACCTCGCTAAGGAGAGCTCTGTGTTCAACAGACCTCGCTAAGGAGGGCTCTGTGTTCAACAGACCTCGCTAAGGAGGGCTCTGTGTTCAACAGACCTCGCTAAGGAGGGCTCTGTGTTCAACAGACCTCGCTAAGGAGGGCTCTGTGTTCAACAGACCTCGCTAAGGAGGGCTCTGTGTTCAACAGACCTCGCTAAGGAGGGCTCTGTGTTCACCAGACCTCGCTAAGGAGGGCTCTGTGTTCAACAGACCTCGCTTAGGAGGGCTCTGTGTTCAACAGACCTCGCTAAGGAGGGCTCTGTGTTCAACAGACCTCGCTAAGGAGGGCTCTGTGTTCAACAGACCTCACTAAGGAGGGCTCTGTGTTCACCAGACCTCGCTAAGGAGGGCTCTGTGTTCAACAGACCTCGCTTAGGAGGGCTCTGTGTTCAACAGACCTCGCTAAGAAGAGCTCTGTGTTCAACAGACCTCGCTAAGGAGGGCTCTGTGTTCAACAGACCTCGCTAAGGAGGGCTCTGTGTTCAACAGACCTCGCTAAGGAGGGCTCTGTGTTCACCAGACCTCGCTAAGGAGGGCTCTGTGTTCAACAGACCTCGCTTAGGAGGGCTCTGTGTTCAACAGACCTCGCTAAGGAGGGCTCTGTGTTCAACAGACCTCGCTAAGGAGGGCTCTGTGTTCAACAGACCTCGCTAAGGAGGGCTCTGTGTTCAACAGCCCTCGTTAAGGACTCTGTGTTCAACAGACCCAGGAACATAAAGTGTGCAACTCGCTCACACGCTATAAACACACCACTTTTTGCAACCTTAAGGACGCCACTATGCAAACAGAATGTTACGTGATATATGAAAGCAATGGAAATATGCACCCAACCGATTAGCCATTCCTTAACCCTTAATTAACGGGGCGCGTCAGTGCGTCCGGTGGAATATCGCACGTCCGTACGCCCGCCGGTACGGTAAAAGCTCACATACTGTACGCCTGTCACGTCGGGAGAACGGACAGAGGGACGGTTGTTTGGTGCGGCTGGAGAGGAGGAGGAGAAAGGTAGGAGATTAGCGTCGTATATCTGGGATTAGCAATAGACGCAGGTACCTTCACTTTTACCTTGTGGGGACACACACACACACACACACACACACACACACACACACGGGTCCCGTACAGGTTGTGAACAGTGATGGGTGTTCAGCATGTTCTCGTTCTCTGTCATCTCTTTCTCTGTCTCTCTGTGGGCTTGTCTACCTGTCCCAACTTTATGACTGTGGTGGTATAATGAGGCACTGTACTCAACTATTTTTCCTTGCGGGGGTTGAGCTTTGGCTCTTTGGTCCCGTCTCTCAACTGTCAATCAACAGGTGTACAGGTTCCTCAGCCTACTGGGCTCTATCATATCTACACTTGAAACTGTGTATGGAGTCAGCCTCCACCACATCACTGCCTAATGCATTCCATTTGTCAACCACTCTGACACTAAAATAGTTCTTTCTAATATCTCTGTGGCTCATTTGGGCACACAGTTTCAACCTGTGTCCCTTTGTGCGTGTGCCCCCTTGTGTTAAATAGCCTATGTGTGTGTGTGTGAGTGTGAGTGTGTGTGTGTGTGTGTGTGTGTGTGTGTGTGTGTGTGTGTGTGTGTGTGTGTGTGTGTGTGTGTGTGTGTGTGTGTGTGTGTGTGTGTGTGTGTGTGTGTGTGTGTGTGTGTGTGTGTGTGTGTGTGTGTGTGTGTGTGTGTGTGTGTGTGTGTGTGTGTGTGTGTGTGTGTGTGTGTGTGTGTGTGTGTGTGTGTGTGTGTGTGTGTGTGTGTGTGTGTGTGATTGTTGTTTCTATCACCTATATGCATTTGCAATGTTCGCTCCTAAGTCCTGCTTTTCTAACAATTATGTAAGTTATAACTACGACGATATTCTCACCTTTTTTACCTATGGCATTTACGAACTAATGTCTGTGTTTAGTTAACATGAACAACTTATACGCTTATCTTTGATCAATTTGGTCAAATTTTCTTTTGCAATCTTTCACGTCGTTGTCAGGTTTCCCTTGATCCTTCTTTCCTGTAGTCTGGTGAAATCTTTCCTCATACTTCAGTTCCCTCACATCAGGCACGAACCTGGTGGATATTTCAGTTCTATAGGCAGCATACTCAGTGGTGGGGTCTCGAGGCAGCATACTCAGTGGTGGGGTCTCGAGGCAGCATACTCAGTGGTGGGTCTCGAGGCAGCATACTCAGCCGAGGGACTCGTGAACCATTCAGGAAAACTCTTTTTGTTCAAGTTCCTCAAAGCTATTAAATGTGTGTTGTATGCTGCTGACGTTTGGCAAATGCTGACATATTTACTCTCTCAAGACTTAATACTTTTTCTGATGGAGGAAGTTGACTATTTTTTACTGTGTACCATTTTAAGTCTTGTGACTAATCTCTGAAGTCTGGTTCCTCAAGTCTAGTTCCTGATCCCTGAAGTCTGGTTCCTGATCCATGAAGTCTGGTTCCTGATCCTTGAAGTTTGGTTCCTGATCTCTGAAGTCTGAACCCTGATCTCTGAAGTCTGAATCCTGATCCCTAACGTCAGGTTCCTGACCCCTGAAGTCTAGTTCCTGATCTCTGACGTCAGGCTCCTGATCTCTGACGTCAGGCTCCTGATCCCTGAAGTCTGGTTCCTGATCTCTGACGTCAGGTTCCTGATCCCTGAAGTCTGGTTCCTGATCTCTGAAGTCTGAATCCTGATCCCTAACGTCAGGTTCCTGATCCCTGAAGTCTAGTTCCTGATCCCTGAAGTCTGGTTCCTGATCCCTGAAGTCTAGTTCCTGATCCCTGAAGTCTGGTTCCTGATTCCTGAAGTCTAGTTCCTGATCCCTGAAGTCTGGTTCCTGATCCCTGAAGTCTAGTTCCTGATCCCTGAAGTCTGGTTCCTGATCCCTGAAGTCTAGTTCCTGATCCCTGAAGTCTGGTTCCTGATCCCTGAAGTCTAGTTCCTGATCCCTGAAGTCTGGTTCCTGATCCCTGAAGTCTAGTTCCTGATCCCTGAAGTCTGGTTCCTGATTCCTGAAGTCTAGTTCCTGATCCCTGAAGTCTGGTTCCTGATCCCTGACGTCAGGTTCCTGATCCCTAACGTCAGGTTCCTGATCCCTGAAGTCTAGTTCCTGATCTCTGATGTCAGGTTCCTGATCCCTGAAGTCTGGTTCCTGATCTCTGACGTCAGGTTCCTGATCCCTGAAGTCTGGTTCCTGATCTCTGAAGTCTGAATCCTGATCCCTAACGTCAGGTTCCTGATCCCTAACGTCAGGTTCCTGATCCCTAACGTCAGGTTCCTGATCCCTGAAGTCTAGTTCGTGATCTCTGATGTCAGGTTCGTGACCTCTGAAGTCTGCACTTGTCTCGGCTGCAGTTCAACAGCCAGTGTTCAACCCTCTTCTGAACAGTTTCATCGCTACCCGGGTATAAAGAAGTTCAATATATAGGTAAGAGGTGGTCTTGGGGGACTGTTTACGTTAATGGCAAATGCTGACATATTTACTCTCAAGACTTAATACTTTTTCTGATGGAGGAAGTTGACTATTTTTTACTGTGTACCATCTTGAGGTTATCTTGAGATGATTTCGGGGCTTTTTAGTGTCCCCGCGGCCCGGTCCTCGACCAGACCTCCACCCCCAGGAAGCAGCCCGTGACAGCTGACTAACTCCCAGGTACCTATTTACTGCTAGGTAACAGGGGCATTCAGGGTGAAAGAAACTTTGCCCATTTGTTTCTGCCTCGGGAATCGGGTGCGGGAATCGAACCTGCGCCACAGAATTACGAGTCCTGCGCGCTATCCACCAGGCTACGAGGCCCCTATACCATGTATCAAGTTTTAGTTTTAGTGTTTTTCCTGCCCGAAACGCTTTGCGTAATAGTGGCTTTCGGCACTGTATGTACTAGCTCTATCTATAAATCCATCAACTTCTGTATTTCACCTTGAATGTATGTACTTTACCTGAATAAATATTTGTATTTGTATTTGTAATGGAGCAGGGCGTGAACCTCAAGCCTCCTCGCGGACATTTAGTCACGTGCTTCATCGACCCAACGCCACCACAAACATTATTTTCACAGGCCAGTGAAGGAGGGGATACCCTCTATGGGTCGCTGGATGCAACACAAGGTCAACTTTAACTGGCAAGGTGGAATTACTGACCCTCTCCAGGATGCAGCCCCACAACAGTTGACTAACTCCCTCTGTTGACCAGACCACACACTTAGAAGGTGAAGGGACGACGACGTTTCGGTCCGTCCTGGACCGAAACTTGACTAACTCCCTCTGTTGACCAGACCACACACTTAGAAGGTGAAGGGACAACGACGTTTCGGTCCGTCCTGGACCGAAACTTGACTAACTCCCTCTGTTGACCAGACCACACACTTAGAAGGTGAAGGGACAACGACGTTTCGGTCCGTCCTGGACCGAAACTTGACTAACTCCCTCTGCCGACCAGACCACACACTTAGAAGGTGAAGGGACAACGACGTTTCATTCGGTCCTGGACCATTCTCAAGTCGATTGGTCTGGTCAACATACTTTAGCCACGTTATTGTGACTCATCGCCTGTAACTCCCTCTCCTTTCTTGCTATATAATACCTATAAAAAGTTTGGATTCTTGAAACACAATTACATCTGGATTTTCTTCAGGTGTCTTCTCCTTGAGTTCACTTGATTTGTTTGTGATTCCATCTGTATGAAGGTGTTAACTGCGGGCCAACGACCACCACTGTGTAATGTGCTCTGGCTGAATGCGACAGCTGAAAAGGGGAAAAGATGCCTCTTCTGGGCAGGATTGATATGGGATATGAGAGTTAGATTTGGGTGTAGATGAGGATATAGGTCGTTGATCAGAGCAAAAAGGAAAGCACTTGTAAAGTGGGTTGGTGAGAGGGAAGTTCAAGTTGGGAAGAGGTGGGATAGACAGGGATAGGATTTGTGTATGTGTTAGTGTTAGTGTTAGTGTGTGTGTGTGTGTGTGTGTGTGTGTGTGTGTGTGTGTGTGTGTGTGTGTGTGTGTGTGTGTGTGTGTGTGTGTGTGTGTAAGATCAGTATACTCCTAACCCCGTCCCATTGAGACGTCCACCTGGATCTTGTTACAACATCAGGTCCAGCCAACCAAGAGCCACGAGAGGTAGTGCAAACACAAGTTAAAGGGGAACACGTGGTGTTTATTTTGGCAGCTGTGTACAATGTGTGTGTGTAAAGAATGTTTGGTAGTTGACACACACACACACACTGTCCTCCGTGACAAACATATAGCGATGATATACATATGAAACAAGTAACGACAAAATAACATCAAAATCTACAGTGTGTCACAATACAAATCAAAACAGACATAACAGTGTAACAAACACGTAACAGTAAGATTAATCTAACAATAACGTAACAGCCTAAGAGTGCACAGCAGACGACGTGTGCAGTAAACAAGACCCGCTTCATTTCTTGTTAATTTGGCACAATATCGTAGGAATACAGAGAACAAACGAATGCAGGACTGTGGCCTCATTATGGGTGCCTATGGGCGTAGTGACCGTTGGAATGAAATGGGTCGTTGGAATGATATGGGTCGTTGGAGTGACGGGGAACGTGGGTGGAGTGGCGTGGCCTGGGGGTCGGTGGTGGATTGATTCAGAACTGCCGTGGATTGGAGGACGGTGGTGGTGGATAGATTCGGAATTGCCGTGGCCGTGGATTTCAGATGACTGGCGGAGGTGCTGGGGCAGCGGGGTAGCGATGACGCCCCTGCCGGAGAGGGCGACGGAGACCAGCACGAGCAGCAGGAGACTGCAGGAGAGTTTGGACACAGCCCTCATGGTAGTAGTGATGCTTGTCTGTAGAAATACAGAGATATTATGGGTAAATGTGACTGAAGTCAAATATTTCATATTCTCAGTCTCTCAGTCTCTCTCTCTCTCTCTCTCTCTCTCTCTCTCTCTCTCTCTCTCTCTCTCTCTCTCTCTCTCTCTCTCTCTCTCTCTCTCTCTCTCTCTCTCTCTCTCTCTCTCTCTTGCTCTCTCGCACGCCTACCTGGTGAGAAAACAGAGACTCTTCTGGTTAGAAAGCCAGAGTGAGAGGCCTTATATATGTATCGCCCAGCTTGCTACTCACATCAGAGAAATGGATGAAAGGGAGGCTCCCCCCCCCCGCATCTCTTGGCGCCACCTCCCTCTTCGTGTTTATCTGGCCAGCCACCACCTTCACTCGCACATCTGTAATGGTAATGAGACACCGTCACTGATCACGTCTCTCACAAATGTAAACACACAATATGTTATTTTTACCTGAGATTAGATTTTAGTGAGGTGGGAGGCAGGTGTGGGAAGCTGGGGGAGGGAGGCAGGTGTGGGAAGCTGGGGGAGGGAGGCAGGTGTGGGAAGCTGGGGGAGGGAGGCAGGTGTGGGAAGCTGGGGGAGGGAGGCAGGTGTGGGAAGCTGGGGGAGGGAGGCAGGTGTAGGAAGCTGGGGGAGGAAGGCAGGTGTGGGAAGCTGGGGGAGGGAGGCAGGTGTGGGAAGCTGGGGGAGGGAGGTAGGTGTGGGAAGCTGGAGTCAGGAGGCAGGTGTGGGAAGCTGGGGGAGGGAGGCAGGTGTGGGAAGCTGGGGGAGGGAGACAGGTGTGGGAGGCAGGTGTGGGAAGCTGGGGGAGGGAGGCAGGTGTGGGAAGCTGGGGGTCAGGAGGCAGAGCTAGAGGGAAGGACATATTGTTACTGTTACACTGAAGTTACCGAAGGAATGTTACATATTTATATTGTAAATAACCAAACGTGTGAAATAAAACCAGTCGACTATATGAAGGCTCTCCTACCCCGGATGGCTCCAGCTTCATCATGTTCCTAATATGATTTTTTTTTTGAGATATATACAAGAGTTGTTACATTCTTGTACAGCCACTAGTACGCGTAGCGTTTCGGGCAGGTCCCTGGAATACGATCCCCTGCCGCGAAGAATCGTTGTTACAACCAAGTACACATTTTACTGTTGCGTTAAACAGAGGCTACAGTTAAGGATTTGCGCCCAGTAAATCCTTCCCGGCCTGGATACGAACCCATGACAAAGCGCAACTTCTTTGTAACTTCTTATTAGATTACATAATGAGCTCATTAAATAGTCAGGTTCTAGAGGTACGATTTTAACTATCAATTGACAGCATCATTGTAAAACTCAGTACCGTTTACAATGCGCAATAGGCTAAGCTTTGGCCTCACAATCTATGATGACGTGTTTAACGTGTCGCGTCAGGACGGAATCATTTGGGCAAAGATTTCTTTCATCTAATACATCTGTTCACTTAGCAGTAAACAGGTACCTGAGAATTAGATGTTGCAAGCTGTATCCTTGAGACGCTCAGTAGTTAGCTGTACACACATCAACCCGGGGAGGATTGACTGGGCACCAATCCGCAACTGTTCACCCAGCAGTAATTGGGATCTTGGTTGTAAAACTATTGTGGGTCGTGTTCCAAGGAAACTTTTAAGAAATGTTTACATTACTTACGAGTAAGGGCAATTTTTATGCTTGATAATAGGAGTTCATCTACTCCTGTAACCCCCCCCCCACTGCATGTGTGTGTGTATATATATATAAACACACACACACACACATATATATATATATATATATATATATATATATATATATATATATATATATATATATATATATAAATATATATATGAATGTCTTATTTAAAAAAAAAAAGATAATGTGTGTGTATTTACTATTTGTGTCTGCAGACTCGAGCTTTTTTTTTTTAGCTCTTGGGCCCCACCTTCCTAACCAATCTATTTTCCTCTTTTATATCTACTACATATATTTCTCTCTAACACACACACACATCCACACACACACACATCCACACACACACACACACACACACACACACACACACACACACACACACACACACACACACACACACACACACACACACACACACACATCCACACACACACACACACACACACACACACACACACACACACACACACACACACACACACACACACACACACACACACACACACACACACACACACACATCCTCAGGAAGCAGCCCGTAGCAGGTGTCTAACTCCCAGGTACCTATTTACTTCTCGGTGAACAGGGGCATCAGGGTGAAAGGAAGCATTGTCACACTGCTTCTGTGAGTGGGGGAGAGGGGGGAAAGAGGGTTCCAAAGTGTTTCACGCATGTGTATGAAGACACACTGCCTCGTTCGGACACTTTTTCGGACATATAAACCATATTCCGAACATCAAATCATTCCTGGCCAAGATTGACGAGAGGTTTTAAACAAATAAACTAAAGGGAGAAATTGTGAGTTTTATTTTGGCAACAGTGTACAGTGCCCCTGGAGGCCTGGCAACAGTGTACAGTGCCCCTGGAGGCCTGGCAACAGTGTACAGTGCCCCTGGAGGCCTGGCAACAGTGTACAGTGCCCCTGGAGGCCTGGCAACAGTGTACAGTGCCCCTGGAGGCCTGGCAACAGTGTACAGTGCCCCTGGAGGTCTGGCAACAGTGTACAGTGCCCCTGGAGGCCTGGCAACAGTGTACAGTGCCCCTGGAGGCCTGGCAACAGTGTACAGTGCCCCTGGAGGCCTGGCAACAGTGTACAGTGCCCCTGGAGGCCGGCCATGTTGGCTGCCTCACTGATGGTCTGGTGGTAACACTGTAACTCAACGGTGAGTTCAAGTGAGTCAAGCAATGGGTAGTTTTGGTGAATCAAGCAACAGTAGTTCACATCTAGGAAGCAACAGTGCCTGAGACAATGGCAACAGAGAAACGGTAGACGGATCGACTTGATATAAATGGAAAATAAAGTTAATGTGTTTTAACAGTGATTTAACATTAGGTTGATGCGTTAAACAGTAACATGAGGTGATTAACAGTGAGCCAACAGTGATGTGAGTGATTGAACAGTGAATCGCAATGAGATGAGGCTTTGAACAATCTAACATGAACATGGGGCCCTTAACAGTAACTTAAAATTAAGATAAGGCTTCTAAAAGTGGCTTCGAACTCTTCCTGATGTCTTCAACTGTGACTTCGAACACTTCCTGATGTCTTCATCTGTGACTTCGAACCCTTCCTGATGTCTTCAACTGTGACTTCGAACACTTCCTGATGTCTTCATCTGTGACTTCGAACCCTTCCTGATGTCTTCAACTGTGACTTCGAACACTTCCTGATTTCTTCATCTGTGACTTCGAACAGTTCCTGATGTCTTCGCCTGTGACTTCGCACATTTCCTGACGTCTTCGCTGTGACTTCGAACAGTTCTGATGTCATCTGTTACTTCGCACACTTCCTTTCGTTCCTCTTCTGCGACTTCGAGCACCCCGTATCGCCCTTCTGCGTGATCACCTGGGCACGCGTTCGGGCATCGCTTCTCCCTCGCTAAATCGGGCAGAAAATAGTGGGTAAGCACAGAATGAATGACTGCAGGACCGTGGCTTGCGGCGCGGTGCTCTGAGCTTGGTCGGTGGTGTTCAACTGCCTGGATGACCAATATATTGAGGAGTCCTCCAGGGGAAGTGGAGACGCGAGGGTCTGCCAGCCAGAGAGGGCGATGGAGGCCAGGACCAGCAGCAGAACAGAGCAGCGGGTGGAGACAGCCTTCATGGTGGTGGTGGTGGTGGTGGTGGTGGTGGTGGTGGTGGTGCTGGAGTTCGTCTGAGGGGAAGAGCATAAATACAGCTGTGGTGAAGGTGAAGGTTAGGTTAGGTTAGGTTAGGTTAGGTTTGGAGTAATCTCTTTTATTTTAAATTTAAGTCCAGGGTTTAATTGATGGATCCTAAACGATTTCAAAGACCCCCAATAGCTGTTATGTCTGTCTGACTTGCGTCTGCTGTCCCTCTGTCTTCGTGTTTCTCTGTCGCTTTGAATTGATGTCTGTCTCTTTATCTCTATCTCTCTCCCCCTCCTATCTCAACCACCGTACCTGTAACCTCTTGTTCATAGAGCCAAATGTACAATTACATGTGTAAGCGAGCGAGGGTGGCAGCGACTTACCTAGCGAGTTACCTGCTGAGCAGCACACACACAACTGATACGGAAGCTCTGAACAGTCTTCCTTATATATATATATGCATATATAGCATCCAGCTTGTTACTATACAGTGCATGTAGGGGCAAGTGTTGCGACGGGGGAGAACTGAGGGGGACGTCTGTGAATACACCCGCTACTCCTACACCCGGAACTTACCGGTAAACTTCCCCACCTTCCCCACCCACTTCCCTAACACACGTCTATATGATATCAACATCTTTCTCCATTCAAGAGAATTTATATACAAAAAGAAGCGATTGTTCGATGGTTTGTGCTTGGTTCGGGTAAGCGCTTAGCGGAGCTGAAGATCCAATAGGAAGTCGAGATTTGATTGTTAGAAATGGAAGTGGGGCACAAGGGCAATTGCTTGGGTTGGTCATGTCATTCTTTTTATTGTTGATTTGGCCATGACTACATCGCCTGGATAACCTGACCCTCGAAGCTATCCTTGAGTGAACAGGACTCACTCAAGAGTTCGAGCCTAGGCCGCCAAAGCCGCTATACCGAGTGCTAAACATTCCTAAGATAACTTCTTTAGCCAAAGTATATTCACTTTGTAAATTTACTTTGCAAATTCACTTTGTAAATTTACTTTGTAAATATACAATAACGAGTGCTGGACAGAACATTAAAAGTAGTTTAAACGCTTCTTACACTCGGCTGCAAGTAATCATCATCTATAAAAAAGAATGTCTGTCTGTTCAAGATTGGAGGCCAGACGCGTGGGGCTAACCTCACACAACTTTGAAGGGTGAATGGTGTGGGATACGGGACGGACATAGGCTTCTCGGACTCGCCACAATTCAAGAGAGAACCGCGTGCAGCAGTCACATACTGACCCCCCACCACTGATTTTACCACTGCCCGCCATTTCCTCGTTATACATTTTATAAATTAAAATTTCTAAATCAATTTTCCTTATAGTAATATAAAAAAATTATGCACTGATCTCAGGAAAATTATGCACTGATCTCAGGAAAATTATGCACTGATCTCAGGAAAATTATGCACTGATCTCAGGAAAATTAACAGAAAATGTATAATAATCATACTTTAACTATAGCAGCATAAAGCAGACTTCTTCCTCAGCTTCAAAGGTTTTCTCAAAGCCAACACGACACTATTATATTTGTTATGTTTCAGAGCACTAAGCTCATCCAACTGG